ACACAGGAGAGGATTGTCCCTGTGTGGATGTAGCCAATATTGTGTTATGTGATTGTGGTTTACTCCCCCTTCTTTAAATGGCGGGAAGCTCTGCACAGCTGTCGTAGGGCCAGGTTCTTTCAGAGAGGAATTAGTATGTGACTGTAATGATATTTTTGGCTCAGTGTTGGAGATTATTTCTTTAGTGCAATAAAACAGAATTTCCGTCTTTAATATAGCATTTACGTTAATCATACACCAATGGCTTGATAACTACAGTTGCAAGGAAAATGGGGAGGAAGAGCCTTGTTCATAAATCGGTGTGCTCTGTTTTCCTAATTTCCTATAAAATTAAAGGAAAAGTAAAATTGCCTGGATGAAATGCACCGCTTTCAGTGTTTAATGTTTCTGTTAATAAATGGTAGAGGTAAATAGAGCTGAATCATAGTGATGTACACCCATCTGCTTGCCTTTAAACATCTAATTAAGAGCCAGTTTGGTGTAGTGATTAAGAGCGGTAGACTCTAATCTGGAGGACCCAGTTGATTCCCTGCTTCTCCACATGCAGCCAGCTGGGTGACCTTGGGTCGGTCACAGTTTTCTCAGAACTCTCTCAGCCCCACCTACCTCACAGGGTGTCTGTTGTGGGGAGAGTAAGGGAAGGAGATTGTAAACTGCTTTGAGACTCCAAGTGAAAGGTAGGGTATAAATCTAATCTAATCTCTTCTTCTTCTTCTAATTGCAAGTGTTTTATGAAAAAGGGTGGTGGGTTAGAATGTTCATAAGAACATAAGAACATAAGAGATGCCAATGTTGGATCAGGCCAAAGGCCCATCCAGTCCAACACTCTGTATCACACAGTGGCCAGAAATACCAGTGCCATCAGGAGGTCCACCAGTGGGGCCAGGACATTAGAAGCCCTCCCACTGTTGACCCCCCCCCCCAAGCACCAAGATGACAGAGCATCACTTGCCCCAGAGTCCCTATCTATACCTTGTGGCTAATAGCCACTGATGAACCTCTGCTCCATATGCTTATCTAATTTCCTTTTGAAGCCGTCCATGCTTGTAGGGGCCACCACTTCCTGTGGCAATGAATTCCAAGTGTTAATCACTCTTTGGGTGAAGAAGTACTTCCTTTTATCTGTTCTAACCCGACCGCTCAGCAATTTCATGGAGTGCCCACGAGTTCTTGTATTGTGAGAAAGGGAGAAAAGTACCTCTTTCTCTACCTGCTCTTGTTCAAACAACCCTGGAGCAAGCTGAGCCAGATGACCCCAGCAGTTCTGGCAGCACCACAGGGGCTTATGTGGGCTATAGTGATGAGGACAAGAGCCACAGGGGCCACTTGGCTCAGCTTGTTCCTGTCCACCAGTGGCCATACGGATAAAGAGACAGCCAGCCATGGTGTATTAGGGTACCTGCAGTACTCATGATTCTGCATTTATATATCTTTAAAGATTAGGCATCAAGCACTTTACTAGAAAGGTTTCTGACAGTTGTCAGAAAAGGCAGTCAATCTCTGAATAACAGTGCTATGAAGCCGCACTGGGGGACGCCTTGACCTCGATGCTGTGGATTTTTGGCCCTCCAGGGCAACTGCTTGGCCACAGCGTGATTAGATGGATTGCTGACCTGAACGACTAGATCTGTTATGTTCTACTTATGCCATACCTGGGTACTGTCTAAAGATATACTTGCATTGATAAAAGAACTAGTCTGAAAACTGCATCACTTCCCATTAAGAGAATTTGTTGTAGGTAAATAAACCCACAGCACAGGAAATCAGTTAGTGCACACCTCTTCTTATGCAAGCGTATGAAAAATGCATGATGCTTCATCAGGAAGAATACTTTTGTCAAAGATTTTATGCTACAACAGGAAAGTACATCTTAGCGAGGAATGCAAAGATTGTTAATTCTGAACTATGTTTCAACACTTTGTGTAAAAGCACAAACAGGAATCTGCATTCATATGGCTGAGCTTCCGGAGAAAGAGCTTGCACTCAGTCTCTTGATTTCCCAGGCAATTGGTATAGATCGTTTGTTGGCTTGTATGGTAACCAAATAAAATTGTACAGTGAATTAATTAATGCTGACCTTAATTTGCCGCATTTGATTGGTGCTCCAACAGTCTATCAACAGTCTCTGTTAACTTGTGGAGGTACAATTCCTGAGGCACAGCCTCTTCTCTGTACTGCTACAGCCAAATGAACCATTGTTCAACAATGGATCCACAAAAAGGGTATTTTAAAGGTTATGGGCTGGTGTGAAGTGTTAGTCCCCTAGGAATCTAGTTGGAATGGAAAGGAGGCAACAACCATCATCCATCATGTGGGCATTTGTTCTTTCAGGCTTTCTGATTTGTAAGTCCTTTGAAAAAATTCACTTCCTTTTTTTTTTTTTTTGGTGTTTAACCAGTTTAGCATTCTTGAGATACTTTAGTATAACTCTTTGCCAGAACCTTTTCAGGGTGAGATGTTTGCCTTTCTTTTGGTGTGTGCCAGTCTTCCTAAACTGATGCCCATGCCTAGACCTGCCTGGTCCCTGCCTTAAAATGCTACAGCAAAACAGTGGGTAAAATTCTTCTGTCGGCAGTCTAGCTCCACAAGAGATCTGCCTTCTTTAATTGGGACTATATGGCTGATAACCTGCCCTGCCCTGGATGGCCCGATCTCATTAGATATTGGAAACTAAGCAGGGTCAGCCCTGGCTAGTATATGAATGGGAGACCTCCGAGGAATATCAGGGTCGTGGCGTGGAGGCAGGCAATGGCAAGCCACCCCTGAATGTCTCTTGCCTTGAAAACCCTACGGGCGGGGCTATTTTGGACTGGCTTCCAAGTTGGCCATGCCCAGCAGGAACTCATTAGCATAATAGGCCACACCCAGCAGCAGGAACTCATTAGGATTGGCTACATTAGGGGTGTGTGGCCTAACATGCAAAGGAGTTCCTGCTACAAAAAAGCCCTGGGTTTTGACAACAAACAAGGTAAGCAGAATAAGAAGCCAAAGGTGGGTGTGGCTGGATGAGCACACTTCTGGTAACATGGGGGGTGGCCTAATATGCCAATAAGCGGTGCTGTTGTGGGTGTGGCCTAATATGCTAATGAGTTCCTGCTGTTGGGTGTGGCCTATTACGCTAATGAGTTCCTGCTGGGCTTTAGCTACAAAAAGAGCCCTGCCTATGGGGCTGTCACAAGTCAGCTGTGACTTGACGGCCCTTTCCAGCACTACATGGCCGATAATCATGAGAAGAGCCTACAAAAGCAGGCGTCTGTTCTGCTCCATCTTCCACCATTTGTCTAGAGATTTTATTTATTTTTTTGCCAGTTAGCCTCTTTTATTAATGAAAAGGTGGTGGTGGCTGTTATTTTTTTATGGACTGCATATAAATTGTATTTCCCGTTCTCAGACTGAAAGGCACAGGTACGTTAATTCAGAAGTTTCCAAGATACTGACAGCAGGCTCCAAGGAAAGTGAAGAGGACACTTTAATTTTTCTTAAAAGCTTTTAATGTAGTTTGCATTTACTATCCTGTAATCCACATCCCTTTCCCTTCCACCCTCCAAATTACTTGTGCTTAGAGGTTCTCAGCTGAAAACACCTCCTGGGAATTTGTAGAATTTTCCAGCAGTCTGTGCTGTATTTGGGAAATTTCACTTTCAGACAGCATGTTTGAGGACACGCCACCATCATTCACACCTAGTCCTCACCTTCTGATTGTGCACCAGTGGGAAAGGAGTTTGTAAGCTGCTCTGAGACTCCGAGTGAAGGGCAGGGTATAAGTCCAATTTCTTCTTTGTAATATATCCAGTTCAGACCACGTGGCCAGCTTGGACTCCACGCGGTCCAGCGAAAACGTCAAGCTTTGCTCAAAGAGACAATGGACTATGCGGATCCTAGCCGCACCAATCAGTGGGCTAGGTTCCTGGCCGAGAGCCTATGGAACTCTCGGCCACTGTAAATAACCTATTGGGAAGTGGGTGTGAGTGTTTGGGGTGGCGGTTCCACGGGACATAGAAGCCGGCCTGCGAGCCGGCTAAAGTTGTCTTGTTCCTGATCTAATATAGTACGCTAAGCTGAAATCACTCATCCATCTGCGTACTTTTCATTCTTCTTCTTCCTCCTCTTCCTCCTCCAACAGGTCCAACAGGCCTCACAGGAGATTCCGTGATCTTACCACAAGTTCGGAAGCAGGTCTACTTGTACAAAATGGCTTGTTTCCTAAACCACCTACTGTTGATGGGTCTCTTTCCTATTGGTCAGGGATGCCTGGATGAGTTGGCAGAGGTTATCATATGGCCATACTCATCAAGTCCTCGGGATGGCCACACCATTTCTCGAGTGGGGTACAGCAGGCAGTAGCGACATAGCAGTGGGTGGCATTAGCAGTAAGATGTCCACTCATGTCAGAGAGAGTAGCCTGTGGTCAGTTATCTGCTGGGGTGCAGGGGAGTAGAGAGAGGATAGCCAGGGATGTGTGGGGGTGGGGCGTAATTTGCAAAGCGCACAGTAACTGCAGGGTAGGGACCTTACGCTACTTCTCTCTCTTTCCTTTCCCTTTCCCAAGCATGTTGCAAGGGTAAATTACTATGTTGTACTACTCAATTTTGCAAGAAAGGATATGTTTAAACAAAATTTGCAGTTTACTGAAAGTCTAGACAAAATCTGTCATGCATCTAAACTCTTTTAAAATATGTGGTAAACGTGCCACTTTTGCTAATCTTGAGAATTATTCTGGAAGTCTTAAACAAACTATTTCATGGCAGGGTGAAGAAAAGACAGTGAATGCTTCTAGTCCTCATGTTTGTCAAGGAAGCATTGAGAAAACAAAAATAAATAAACGCTGAAACCTGCCCTAAAATGTGGCCATTCATTCCAGCGATTTTTAAAGCATTTTTTTTGGTCTTTTTATGTGGTTTTATGAATGGGCAGAACTGGCACAATAAAGTACACAAGTAAATATTGGAGACTTTACAACTGCTGCGTTTAGCTGTGTTTTGTGTCTTTATTCTTGCTAGCATCAAGCAACATGACAGATACAGTCAGCTGATCTTGGCAAATTCCACTGCAGCAGACACCGGTGAATACAGCTGCTGGCTACTCGTGTGCAAAGGTTACAACTGCAAGAAGGATGAGTCAAAAACAAGCTCAACGTACATCTTTTTTGCAGGTAACAAAGTGGTTCGCTGGCCCCAAAGAAAGCCAGTTTTGTGTTTCTCTGTGAAACTACAGTAAATGCCTTGGTGGCCATATCACAGCGGAGCCAGAAGTAGCAATGACATGTCTTACACAGACTCATGTGGAGCACCATTTCCACAGAGTGAATAGTTTGGGGAAAAAATCCTACATGCTTTTTCCAGACAAATTATTCTGATTTTAAATAAGTGCTATTTAGAACTGAAATAAAATGGTAAGCAGGTAACTGTTGTTCATCGAGTGGTCACCTGTGCAGTCACACGTGGCTACTGCACACGCACAAGCGTGCCGTGAAGAGGACTTTTTGAAGCTCAAAATGCCTAGAGGCACTCTGTCCCCCTCCCCTTGAAACCTGCTTTGTAAGCTCAAATGGGAAATGAGTTGTAGAGTTTCCAGGCTGTATGGCTGTGGGCTTGGCACTGTAGTACCTGACGTTTTGCCAGCAGCTGTGACTGGCATCCTCGGAGTTATAACACAAAAAGATGGAGAGTCACAGCTGCTGGCAAAACGTCAGGTCCCACAGTGCCAAGACCATGGCCATACAGCCCGGAAAATCTACAACAACTAATGAGGTCCGGACGTGAAAGCCTTAGACAACACATCAAATGGGAAAGATTTGCTTATTTTTTAATCAGGCTCAGAAATATGTTGAAGCAGTAGGGTCCAATTCAGTGGTATTGCTGGAAAATCCAAGAGTCCAGTAACTCTTGACATTGTGCACCACAGCACAGCTTGACACTCCACACTTCTTATGAAATGCAGGACAGTTTTAATATGATGGCGGGGGAAGGGGGGCTGTAGTCCTGGTAAGGAGAAAAAAAAACTGTTGGTCACACATTTGTACATAACAGTCTCTGGGTAAGGGCAATAGAGCCTTATCTTAGTTCAATAATGAAGCCGCTACTAAAAAATAACTCTCTCAGAGCTTTATTGTCCTTCTTAGGCGTAGTGTGTAGCTCCCCAAGCCAAATACAGCCTACCAGTTACATATGGCAGTCGTTTATGGGCAAAGTCCCTGTATTAAGTCCCATGTTTCCTCCCGGAGTAATAGGTACATCTGTGGGGAGGTATAGGTATGTGCTAATGGAGGGCATGCAAACTGAAGATGTAGCCTTAGCTATAATGTCGTGAAGTATGACACTTTCAGTTAACTTTTTCATTTCTTTTCTTTAAGAATCTTTTCAAAAGTCCTTAACAATTTGTTGTTAGTGAGCATCACTAACAATTACAACTCTGGTAAAAATTGTTTTCTCCTATTGTTGAATGGCCATTTTTGCAAGGTCAGACTGTTAAAATGGTGAGGAAATAAAATACATCATGCTGATACATAACACATCTTACATTACTTTTCGAACAGATAAAGGGGAGCTCTTTGTTCCTTCTCCCAGCTATTTCGAGGTGGTGTACCTTAACCCAGATAAACCCACGGTGATTCCTTGCCGAGTGACCAACCCGTCAGCAAAAGTGACGCTTCATCAGGAATTCCCAGCAGAAGAAGTCAAAGTGGATGGAATTGACATTGTCTATGATGCAAAGAAGGGCTTTGTCTATCAGCACCCAAAGTCTGAACACAAAGGAGTAGTTTACTGCAGAGCCGAATCAAGGGGGGCGCCTCAGATTTCCATTAAATACCAGCTGCTCTATGTGGAAGGTAAGATTAATTGAGTTGGTGGAACATCATTTTGCTCCTCACCTACTGGAAATCATTGTAGGAGCAGACCCTGGATGCTTTTTCAACACAGTTCAGCCAGAGCATGATGGCTTTAATAATGGCTTTTAGTGAACTGCTTGAGTGACCCTTTTATGGTAAGAAGAAGAAGAGATTGGATTTATACCCCGCCCTTCACTACCCAAAGGTGTCTCAGAGTGGCTTACAAACTCCTCTACCCTTACCCTCCCCACCACAGACACCCTGTGAGGTAGGTGGGGCTGAGAGAGCTCTGAGAGAAACTGCTCTTTTCAAGAACAGCTCTTATCAGAACTACGGCTTGCCCAAGGTCATCCAGCCAGGTGCAAGTGGAGGAGTGGGGAATCAAACTCGGTTCTCCCAGATTAGAGTCCGTGCACTTAAACCACTACACCACACTGGCTCTCTAAGGAAAACAAGAAGCATGAGTAGACGAATGTGTACCACTGGGAGGTCATTCTTGACCTGCCATGTCTGCACTAAGATCTAGCTTTATAATTTAACAGGATATAGGGTTGCTGACCCCCAGGTGGTGGCTGGAGATCTTGTGCTATTACAAATGATCTACAGGCAACAAAGATCAGTTCCTCTGGAGAAAGTGGCCGCTTTGGAGAGAGGACTGTATGGCGTTATACCCCACTGAAGTCCCTCCCCTCCCCAAACCCCGCCCAGGCTCCACCCCCAAAATCTCCAGGTGTTTCCTAACTTGGAGCTGGCAATCCTAAACAGGAATGTGCTTTTACTGCCCAGAAGAGAATCCAGTTAGTCATGTGCAGATTCTGGTTACGATGAAGGTATAGCCAACCTGTTTCCCCCAGTCTAAGTGATTCCCCTCCCACAACTGTTTTATCAGTGGAAGGTGACTTCACTTCTAAGTTGGACTGCAGAATTACACAGCAGCCATGAGGAAATCACATGATTTGCATAATTTACACACATAACATTGACTTCAGCTTCATTTCATTTGGTTATCTTGGCAAAGATATTTGCTTTTGTTAGACCAAGCACACATAACCTTGGAACTGTTTAAGAAAATTATTGCTTCAGTTTGAGTTCTGCTGCCCTTCTAAATTATCATTGTTACAGTTACAATTATAAATGACCAATATCTACAGGCTCAGAAAGAAAGAAAAAATCCCAGAGGATGGAAAGTTCTAGAAATGTTTTCTGTAACATTAGACTCACAACAGAAATAATGATGTTAGGTTATACAGCCCAAATGAATACCATCCAAGTGAAACTTCTTAAAAGTTGAACAAGTTCTTTTAGAGAAAGATGGGTAGCCATGTTTGTCTGTAGCAGTAGAAAAGAGCAAGAGTCCAATAGCACCTTAAAGACTAACAGAATTTGTGGCAGGGTAGGAGCTTTTGTGAAGAAGTGAGAAGTGACTCACAAAAGCTCATACCCTACCACCAGGGCTATTTTTGGGCAGGAACGCACAGGAACGGAGTTCCAGCTGGCTTCAGAGTTGGCCACGCCCACTACAGCCAAAACCTCTGTGTGTATGGCTACAGAGGGAAGGCCTGGAGAGTGACCCCCCTAGCGACTCCGAGGTGGGCGGGCCAGGGGGGCCCCGGAAGGACCAGGGAGGCATTTAAATGCCTCCTCGTGCCTTCCCTGGCCTGTCCAAGGGCCGGCTTGCCCAGGCTTCCCACAGCCATGGGGCGCCCAAGCAAGCCAAGGGAAGGCACGGGGTGTGACCTAATATGCTAATGAGTTTCTGCTGCTGGGTGTGGCCTATTATGCTAATGAGTTCCTGCTGGGCTTTTTCTACAAAAAAAGCCCTGCCTACCACAGATTTTGTTAGTCTGAGTTATTTTAGGTTCATATTTAAATTGAAACATCTCCTGTTTGTTTCAAGGGCACTTAATGTACTTTAGGGACCATGTCCTAGGCATTGAGCTAATATAATAAAGATTAGCATTTAAGTACTGTAGAAAAGCTGGTCTGCATCTACAAATAATTTTATTATGGCTGCCTACAGAAAGACATACAATCTAAGATGCAGGAAGATTAAAAGATAAATTCAGTACAATAAAAATGTAGACAGAATTCAAGGTTGCCAGTGTTTTTATTAGTGCTTGCTCCTGTGTCTTTAACCTACTTTGATTTGCAGAAATTAGTTGGTGTTAAAGATGTGTGTCAATTTCTACTGATCACCCCCCTCTTAGAGGAGCAATGTGTTAGGCTGCCCCCCCCCCCCCAATTTTCATTGCAATTTCAGGAGAGAAACCACTTTTTCTTTCATGTCACTTGCTTTTTCACCAGTCCCTAGTGGTCCACCTTCAACAACAATTAAGGCATCATCCAACAATGCAAGCGGTGGAGATGATATCAGTGTTCTGTGCACAGTTTTGGGAGAGCCAGATGTAGAAGTAGAATTTAATTGGATATATCCAGGGCAAGAGGTAAGCTGCTAGTTCTTCTTTTTATTATTTCCCTTAAATAAAACAGAAGATTATATATACTACCATAGTGCTAGCAAGGATCATACAGCAGAGTGTAAATTAACAGTTCTAGCTGCAAACAGAATTGCTCAAGCCTTGAAGAATCTAGTGTAGTGTTGATAATATTGAATTCTAGCCTGTTCACCCCCCCAAACCTAGTGTTAAGCATCTTACAGGAAATCTGTGTTCTAATTTCCTAATGTTTACTTTAATGTTTAATGGATGGGATGTGTGTGTGGAATGGATGGGCTCAATTTGGATCACAGCCATAGCTCTTGAGTTGAAAAATCCCCCCACCCCCACAATACATACACCCAACTGCTGCTAGTCCCAGGAAGGGGAAGAAGACAGCTTATGATACCTGGCTGCCATTTGACTCTTTGCCAGAATAGACTGCAGGAAGGATAACTCACAGTACCAAAAAGAACTGAAAGAAAGAACCCTCACAGTGCCAGAGCTGCCTTTCTCCTTCTTCCTAGAAGGAGGATCCTGGCCTAAGTTCTTTTCCTTGGCCGGTTGAAGGTGCAACACTGAATATGGGGTCGGTGCTTAATAACAGTACAGTAGCTTAATAACAATTTTGTTATATGTGAGAAAATTCCTGACATGAGATTTACCAAAGACAATTCGTAAACTTCAGTTATTAAAAAATACAGCAGCCCACTAACGGGCTGGTGCAACTTGTGCAGTTTTTCATATTAGCTCTTTTGAAGACATATGTTAAGTTTGTATTTCTGGCATGCCTGTGATTTGTATACATTTTTATATTGTTATTTTAACTATTGTTTTTTCTGTAAGCCGCCCTGAGCCTGCCTCAGCGGGGAGGGCGGGGTAAAAATCAAAGTAATTAATTAATTAATTGTGAATGCACATCACATCAGCTCTGAAAGATCTGCCCTGGCAGCCAGTTTGTTTCTCCAGTTCAAGGCACTGGCTATTAGATAGAATCTATCTATCTATCTATCTATCTATCACTGCTCATACGGCTATCACCTTAAGCAGAAATTAGAACCAAATAAAATATTTTAAAAGACCTTACTATTATTTCTCTCATATTTGATTATTGCGCCTATGAATTTTGCCACTGAGAGGGTGACACGATCATTGGTATACGATAGTAGCCATGACACCTGGGCTCGCACATTTAGCAGTGCCATATCTTTAAGTAAAGGGGTGACCAAATTAGCCCTCAACTCATCGAATATAGAGCACTCCATAATCATACGTTCAATGGTTTCTATTGTATGATATGAGCATCTGCATGTTCCATTATGGTATGATACTTTTATTATATCGGCCATCCAACACTGCTGAGGGAAGAACGCTCAGTCTTGCCAAAGTAAAAGCTCTTCTTAGTTTTGAGATTGTCAATTGATAAAAATATTTTGGCAGTTGCATGGCACTGGCTATTATTTTCAAAGCTTGGGGCCCTCTTACCCTAAGAACTGCTGACTGTACTTTACTGCCTTAGAACCGAGAAAATAACTGACCTGAGAGTGTTAAAAGTCCTCATTTTTAAAGACAGTCCCAAATTAAAAAGTAACTGCTTAAGATCCAGTCTGATAGCCAACATTAGCAGATAAACCTTATCTATGAATAAGGGCAGAGTTGTCTTCTGGAAAGCATAGCAGTTCCAGTCATGTTAGAATCAAAAACTGGAAAAGACACAGCACATCTAATTCATACTCCTGTGGCAAGAAGATTGTGTGAAACAAGCTGTAAATATAAGTATCTGACTCTATCCTATTGGAAAGAACCACCCTGTCATACATTATCATAGTAACATGGGCACTAAAACAAATACCACAGCCACAGTAATCTGAAAGCTCTTAGCCTCAGTTGCTCTGTGATATGTTTCATGCTATAACAAAAAATTGTTAGCTGTATTATGTATTCCCTATGTACTTTTACACTGTTTACTGTTTCATTTTGGTGTCTTTCAAACAGTATGAAAGGCCTGTGATCATCCAGGACACCTGGAGGCTGATTGACAGAGGAATTGGTCACACCACAAGAATCTCAGAGAGTCTCATTACTGTAGAAGATTTCGAAACCATTGATGCTGGAAACTATATTTGTATAGCTCAGAACCTTCGAGGACAGACCACAGTAGCTACCCATGTTGAACTGATATGATATACTGAGCTTGAAATAGAGCCAGAACAGAAAATGTATGGCTGGACTGCTTCTGGCTAGCTTTAACACACTGAACTGGAAATAAGATTTTTTCCTACTCTGTACATTCCATTCTTTTTGCATACTAGTAGACTCCAGGCTTGTAGTCATAAGATGCTGATTGACAGCTAGTGCAGCACAATGGCTAAACTATGCACTCACCCCAGGTGGCCTCATGGCCATAGTATTTGTTATCTTCCCACCTGGGGGCGAAATGCTGACCTACATTATGGTGTTTGGATGTGAAGATTCTTGAGCTTGTGTCTGTGATGTGTTTTGAGCACTTGAAAGTGCTATATAAATATTGATCAGGAAAGTCACCCATTTTAGGGGGGAAATATCACATTTAATGTGATGCATCTCTGACAATATTGTTTAATGCAGTCAAAAGGTGTTAGCAGAAAAATGCTTTCTCCTAACTAAGCAGAACACGAAGGAAGAGGATATAAAATCACACTTGTAGCATTACTCATCTTCATCTAACAAGGATCTCTGTTGCTGTATGGAAGTCTGTAATTCCCCCCCCCCCCCAACAGCATTGGGCATCAAGATAAAATGCTTTTAAACTTATTGTTGAAACCATATCATATGAGTTTTAATGTCATAAGTATACTAGACTTGTTTTGTTACATATTAAATAAAATATTTTGCAAGCTTTGAATGTTTGATATTTGTAGATCCTAATCTCTCCCTTATTATAAAAGAGTTTTGGGTGCCAGAATTCTAAAATTGGCCCCTTTAGTGTTAGGCCGAAAAAACTGCCACTCGGAAGACACTGGCTGGGTTCATTGGCTGCTTTGTGCAGTCCCGGCCAGCGTTCCAAGGTCATTTACATATGGAAGCTGATTGGACTACACTCCATTCCACACCTCAAACTCACCCCCCCCCAAGGCAGTTGGAATTTTCAGTTGGGAATGATGTCAGCTGCTCCCTAGGCAGAGGCTGTGTGTGTGTG